TGTCCAGGCTTAGAGAGCAATGGCACGATCTCAGCGCTCACTGAACTCTGCCCTCAGAGAAATGGTTCAAGAGAAAGTTCAAGCATTTCTCCTGGGCTCAGCCTCGCTTGAGTAGAGCCTGGATTATAGGCACGCACCATCCATGCCCAGGCCTACTTTGTTTTTTGTATTCTTTAGTAGATGCCATGGGGTTTCTCCATGTGGTACAGCTGGTCTACAAAGCCTAACCTCAGGTGATCCGACGCCGCCTCTTCCCTCCTAAAGTGTGGGATTACAGGCGTGAGCACCCGCACCCTAGCCGGTTCTTATCACTTCTATGATAGTAGATGAGTTTTTAAATTATCGAAAAAAGTCCTGATTTCTCATGTAACACTGTGACCAGTCTTACCTAGGAATGTTTTTCATCCGCCTTGCCACAACTTTGCATCCCACTAGTGAAAGTGCTTCTAATTTTTCTACCATATGGTACAGTAAAGATTTAGAGCCTTCTGGGCCGGGCACGGTGGCTCATCACATACCCACACTTTGGGAGTACAAGTGAGCAAGATTTCGTGTAGGCCAGTGTAGTTTCAAACCAGGTTACTGTGTGTGAACCCGTCTCTACGTAAAAATACAAAAGTAGTCAGGAGTCGGTTTGGCAGGGTGCGCTGAATTCCCAGCTGCTAATAAGGCAGGGTTGCAGTCAGCTGAGATCGTTGCCACTGCCACTCCAGCCTGGGTAACAGAGAGAGACTCTATCTCAAAAAAAAAAAAAAAAAAAAAAATTAGATCATTTAATATTGTTGTGTGTTGTGTCAAAAAATCTTAAAGATTGGTGGGCGCAGGTTGGCTCAAGCCTGTAATCCGCATTGTACTTTGGTTTTTTTTTTGAGGCCGAGCACGGTTGCGGATCTTATTTGGAGGTTAGGAGATTTTTGTTCGAAGACATCCCTTACATGGTTGTTCTAACATGGTGAAACCCGTCTCCAGCTTAAAAAATACCAAAAAACTAGCGGGCGAGGTGGGCGGAGCGCTGTAGTTCCAGCACTCGAGGGGCTGAGGCAGGGAGAATGGCGTGGGAACCTGGGAGCGCGGAGCTTGCAGTGAGCTTGAGATCCGGTCCACTGCACTCCAGCCTGGGACAGAGCGAGGACTCCGTTCAAAAAAGAAAACAACAACAACAAAAACTGGACAACAAGAGCAAAATACCATCTCAAAAAGAAAAAAAAAAAAAGAGAAGTGATAGAATCAATTTTCCATCAAAACTAAAAAATTGCATTTTAGGGTATTAATGTTAGGGACTACCTGATTATCAACATAGAAAGATGTTGATAAGAATTCCACTTCTGGCAGGGCACAGTGGCTCACGCCTGTAATCCCAGGACTCTAGGAGGCCGAGGCGGGAGGATCACCTGAGTTTAGGAGTTCGAGACCAGCCTGGCTAACATGGTGCAACCCCACCTCCACTAAAAATACAAACAAACAAACAAAAAAAAAAAATTAGCTGGGTGTGGTGGTATACATCCGTGATCCCAGCTACTAGGGAGGCTGAGGCAAGAGAATCACTTGAATCTGGAAGGTGGAGGTTGTGGTGAACCGAGATTGCACCACTGCACTCCAGCCTGGGCAACAAGAGTGAAACTATCTGGAAAAAAAAAAAAAAGAATTCTACCCTCACTTAGAAAATTTATAAAAGTAAACACACATGTAAAATGCTTTAGCCTGCATCCTCCCTTAGAGAAAAGAAATATTTCTAATAGCAACATTTTTGAAGACACTATTTTCTCCTTCTTTGGATCACCCTACTCTTAAATTGTATTAGGGTGTTGGGTAATCATATAATCATATCCCTTGGGTATTATTTAAAGATTAGAAACACTTCAGCTTTATGAATCATATTTAGGCAAAAGCCAAGAGTCTAGAGGATGAGAGAGATTTGCTGTGTTTTGTTTTAATCACTAGAGATCTGTACTTAAGATCTTGTCCAACTACTACATAAAACAAACAGGCCTCTCTCATTCCTCTATTTTAAGTGATGGAGAAATAAGAAAAAGCATCTGAATGCGGTGGCTCACGCCTGTAATCCCAGCACTTTGGGAGGCCGAGGCGAGGCGGGTGGATCACTTGAGGTCAGGAGTTCAAGACCAGCCTGGCCAACAAGGTGAACCCCGTCTCTATTAAAAATACAAAAAAAGTTAGCCAGGCATGGTGGCAGACGTCTGTAGTCCCAGCTACTCAGAGGCTAAGGCCAGAGAATTGCTTGAACCTGGGACCCCGAGGCTGCAGGGAGCCAAGATCATGCTATTGTACTCCATCCTGAACAACAGAGTGAGACTTCATCTCAAAAAATCTAAAAAAGAAAAAAGAAAAAGTAACATTCCAGAAGCTGGTATTAACTTATAAATGCATATTCCCAGAATTTAATCACAAATACCCTTGTGAATGAAGAATATTTCACTTTCAAGTTTACAAGATAAATAAGTCCTGGTATCGTTTCAGTCACTTACGTAGCATAGAACTTAGCAAAAGTGTGGATATTTTATTTTGAAAAGCTGTATGATTCCTGATACGTCTAAAGCTTTCAGGGATGTATAATCTTTTGGCTTCCCTGGACCACACTGGAAGAAGAAGAATTGTCTTGGGCCATAGCCACTCGTAAAATACACTAACACTATGATAGCTGATGAGCTAAGGAAAAAAAAAATTGCAAAAAAAAAAAAATTTCATGTTTCAGGAAAGTTTATGGATTTGTGTTGGGCTGCATTCAAAGCTATCCTTGGCTACATGCGGCCCACGGGCTGTGGTTTGGACATGCTTGGTCTAAACCATCTCACAAATTTCAACAAGCATAATGAGCCATGTAAGAAGATATAATTAACAAAACCAACTCTTTGAAAGGGTCTAGCTCAAGATGGCAGGTGGTACACACAACACTACCCTCTGTTTCTAGTCAAAAGTCCATTCAAAGTGAGTAAAAGATATGTTAACATCAAGTAAGTCCGTAAGAGTTAAAAGGGTACCACAAATGACATTTGAGAAATTTGTGGAAGACAGAGGTAAGTAGGGTCGGATTGAGTAACCATGGCAGAGGAATTTAAAACGCCCCAAAATAACAAAAGCCTGAGATGAGGAAGAACCATTTCTTCTTCGTGGACCCTGGATAAGCCTAAAGCTCACAGTCAACAAATATCAAAAGCAGGAATGAATAAAAACGAAGTTCTTGAAACACCAAAGGCTGTCCGCCGGCAGCTAGGTAAGGTGACTTCATTCACATACAGTGTTGCTTTCTGATTATTACTGTTATTATTTTTTGAGACAGGGTCTTGCTCTGTTGCCCAGGCTGGAGTGCAGTGATGTGATCATGATCATTGCAGCTTTGACCTCCCAGGCTCAAGCAATCCTCCCACCTCAGCCTCCTGAG